AGTTATCGATGAAGAAAATCATTTTTTGTAGATATTTCAAAAAAAAAGGTGAACATTTGTTTTTATAGTTTAATCTGTGAATTAGTTATTGATAAGAATAGTCTGAGCAACTGTCACCATCACAAATATAACCATAAGATGGATTGAGCTAATCGTATATAATTGTGTAGCACTACTCCTACTCGTAGATGATTGTGTAGTAGTACTCGTACTCATAGATGATTGGGTAGTACTACTCGTAGATGGTTGTGTAGCACTACTTGTACCCGTCGATGATTGTGTAGTACTACCCGTAGATGGTTGTGTAGCACTACTCGTAGATAATTGTGTAGTGCTACTTGAATAATGTGTAGTAGTCGTCGTCTCGGTACTTGCCACTTGTATGACTACAGTGGCAATGGCACACATATTCTTACCACGTGCAATTCGAATGTAACCTTGATCACCCCATTTCGCACCTAGGATTGCGAAAAATAGTCAAGATAACACTCACTATCGAAGTCAATACTCACCCCAGTTATTTTTACACAACCAGTAGGGTTTACCACCTTCGATACCGTAACCAACAATTTGTACCTACAAAGTCGATGTCTCAAAAATGCGAAAAATCAATATATGTCTATTTTTACCGCTTGATCAACTTGTGTTTGTGAACATGTGGGATCATCATAGATACCTGAAGAGAGAAATAGACAGGTATTAATGAATATATCAAGTATATTAACATACCACTGGTATATGATATGAAGCCCACTCCAGTAGCATCTATTTCAGCCCAGAGTGTTGAGTCTTGAATCCAAATCAACATTGTACCTTCATCACCTGGTATAAGTCTGTTGATTTTATTGAACTAGAATTCACATAAATCCAACATCTTGCTTACGTTTAAATTGTAAACAAGAAAACTCAAAAAATAAAGATTGAACTTTCTTTCTTTCTTTTTTGCTTCATACGCTTACACATACCGTTGTAAATGGTGTGCATTTGTTCGGTTCGCATGTTCCGAGAGCTTCTGGATAGTCATTTTTGCGGCAAATACCACTCATATTCTGTATACAGTCAAAAGTATCAACTGGTTGTGGGCAACAGTCGAATACTCGTTGGATGCTGCCTTCAATGAAGTTCTTGGTATGAATAGCATGAAGACTCTCGACAAGTTCTATTGGATAGTTGTGAAAGAATATTATTAATTCCTTAGCCTCTACATGATACTTACCAGTGCTGACAACGGCAGTCACGATCTCGCCAGCAAGTTCACTTACGGGTCCGATAACACCTTTATCACGCCAATCAAGCGATTCAGGTAAGTTCTTTGTTTCAATAGAACTTTGACGAATTGTTGGTCGAGATTCAATATGAATCTTTGGCTTTGATACAAGTTCCTATCATATAATTACATATAGTCATTCGTCTGTTATTTCTGAAAGTGGCAATTAACCTGAATTCGTCGATCGGCTAGATAATTGATTGCCATTGTGAATGATGCATCGGGATAAGTATGCTGATAAGCACGCATTCGATTAATATTCTCAATAAATATTTCTTTACGTTCGATTTCTTCAGCAGCTGATGCATAATTTTTGTTGTAGTCACGTTTGAATTTATCCCATTCTAATGATAAATCACTCACAGCTGCACCAAATAGAATCAATAGTACAACAAGCTAATATGATCAAATTTTGCTTATTGGAATGTTAACAGCATAGATAACAACTTACCTTCATTTTTAAAGTTTCTAAATGAATATGTATGTGAATCAAGAGATAATGATATTTTAAGTGAGAGAAAAGAAAGTGCGCAATGATAAGTGACGAAGTGAAATTATATAATGCTGACACAGCAACAGCTTCGTCTTGACTCATATCTGTAATCAACAGTCTTTTTCCGTATCTTTTTTTTACTTCTTTGCGTACCAAATTATTTTTTACTGGATCGAATTGAAGTAAATCATTGAATTAGCTCATTTTATACCGTAAGAGCAACTCTGTCATGTGTGATTAAAAGTTTTAACTGCTAAATTTTATTAATTACGAAAAAACAACTTTGAGGGTGCGGATGTTGTTGTCTATCTTCTCGTAACTTTCGATAGGCATAACTGCACACCCACACCCTCAAGATGGCAAAGTTTATTTAGGTTTCTTTTTGTCACTTAACGCTTTTTTTTAGCTGAATAGTTAAAATGTATTGAAAAGTGATCGATAAAGAAAATCTTTTTTGTAAATATTTCAAAAAAAATTTGTAAACATGTGTTCTTGTGGTTTAGTCTGTGAATTAGTTATAGATAAGAATAGTTTGAGCAATTGTCACTATCACGAATATGACCATAAGATGGATTGATCCAATCACATATAATTGTGTAGCACTACTCGTACTCGTAGATGATTGTGTAGCAGTACTTGTAGATGATTGTGTAGCGCTACTCGTAGATGGTTGTGTAGTAGTGCTCGTAGATAACTGTGTAGTGGTACTCGTAGATATTTGTGTAGTACTACTCGGCTCGGTATTTGCCACTTGTATAATAACATCAGCAATTTTACACATATTTTTACCACGTGCAATTCGAAAATAACCTTTTTCACCCCAATCGGTACCTATATTTACAAGAAAAAATAACAAAATATATCCTTCATCAATACTCACCCCAATGAAGTTTGCATAACCAATAAGGTTTTCCTTCTTCACTACCATATCCAATAATCTGTACCTATATGAAGATTAATTATATATTTAATAAATATAAAATCTGATAATATTTCTTAGTCCTTACGACATCATCTATAGAAAGGTCAGAACATGATGGTTCATCATAAATACCTCAAAAACGAGAAAACAAAATACTCAATCTATAATAAAACAAATTTCAATACCTCCAGTATATGTATTAAAACCTTTTCCAGCAACACTCATTTCTGCCCATAAAGTCGACTCTTGAATCCATTCTAACATTTCATTTTCATCAGGTTTTGCCATTCGTTTAATTGTATCAAACTATAATTTAAAAAAATAAGTCGAAATTTTCTTCAAAAATATCAACCCCCAATATAAACATACACTAGTAAATGGTTTACATATATCTGGTTGACATCGACCAAGTGCTTTTGGATAATCTTCTTTTCGACAAATACCACTCATATTCTTTATACAATCAAAAGCATCGATAGGTTGTGGACAACAATCGTATACTTGTGGTATACTACCTGCAATAAGTTCACCAGTTTTAATAGCATGAAGACTTTCAACAAGTTCTATACAAAAAAATATGATTATGTTAGTATTTTTCTTTATTGATATATACCAGTACTAACAACAGCAGTCACAATTTCTCCAACTTCATCATGATATACTTCCGTGATTACACCTTTATCACGCCAATCAAGGGATTCAGGTAAATTTTTTACTTCTCTAGAACTTTTAAATGATGATGTATAAGATTTAAGTGTATTTCTTCGTGAAGATACAAGTTCCTGTGTAAAAGAATGAATTATACATTATTGACAGATATTAATAACTAAAATTTACTTGAATACGTCGATCAGATAAATGATTAATTGCTAATGTATAAGTTGCATGAGGATTATTTTGTTGAAAAGAATGAATTTCATTCAAATTTTCAATAAATATTTGTTTTCGTTCAATTTCTTCATCAATTGTTTTATATTGTTTATTATATTTCTGCTTAAATTCATTCCATTCATTTGATAAATCAGCGACAATTATACCAAATAGTACGACGAAGAAAATAGACTTGAAAATAAAACGTGTATTCAACATTTTTTATAACTTAATGTGAAAATGAATGTGTTAGAAATGTGATAGATAAGAATATGTAATACCAAGAACATTATCACTGTTAACATCATCATGACAAAAAATAGTTGTCAGTATCATAAATGTAAAGAAATATATCAACAAAGAATTCATCATCGTACTAGCAGAATATTTATTCACTTAAATTTTTTTTAAGACGATCGATATGAAAGTTAATGAACTGATTACGTCTAACGTAGGACAAGAGCCGAATTACTATGATCAGAATACCAAGAGAATAGAATGTTTTTGTCATGAAATTAAACGAAAAGTGGTATATAATGTTTTCATCCGTTCATTATGAATGTTGACATTCTTTTCACCCACGTCTATAACGTAGAAAAATCTTGTTTGATTGTAAGAATGAGAGTTGTTGGCACATTTGCAAGAGATGAATAACATATCTTCACTTTTTTTATATTTTTGCATTTGTTTTTTATTATAGTTTATCTTGTTGATAACGAAGTAAACATGATGTTAGTACCGCAGTGGTACTAACACAGGGTGGCTAGATCTTCTGAAAAGCCAGAAAAAATTCTGAAATTGCAACCTGTTTCTGATTTTTTCTGATTTATAAATCCAGAAATTCAAAAAATATAGAGCCGTTTAGAGACTTCTTGGGCTGGGTGTAAGTGCGTCGCCTTCTAGCGAAAAACTGAGTTAGATGCACTTGTACGATGACGGCGAATATTTATTTAGTTTTCTTTCTCACATAACACTTTTCTTCAGCTAGATAGTTGAAATGTACTGAAAAGTTATCGATGAAGAAAATCATTTTTTGTAGATGTTTAAAAAAGAAAGGGTGGACGTTTGTTCTTATAGTTTAATCTGTGAATTAGTTATAGATAAGAATAGTTTGAGCAATCGTCATCATCAGGAATATGACCATGAGATGGATTGAGCTAATCTTATATAATTGTGTAGCACTACTCGTACTCGTAGATGATTGTGTAGCAGAACTTGTAGATGGTTGTGTAGCAGAAATTGTAGATGGTTGTGTAGCACGACTCGTAGATAATTGTGTAGTGCTACTCGTATAATGTGTAGTAGTCGTCGTCTCGGTACTTACCACTTGTATGACTACAGTGGCAATGGCACACATATTCTTACCACGTGCAATACGAATGTAACCATGATCACCCCAGTTCGCACCTGGGATTGCGAAAAATAGTCAGGATAAAAATTATCCTCGGAGTCAAGACTGTGTATATATCTTTTTTTGGGTGTATATGATGAATGAAATGATTATGATTTTGTCTTGATAATGTCAATTTATTCGACGAAACGTAGACTTAGAATTAAAATAAATTAATTATGAAATTTAAGCTATCATTCTCTCTATTATATTTATTAAAGATTTTTCGCCCATGAATGAAAAAAAGAGTGTCAAGGTATTTCGAAATTTTAAAGTGCATTTCTCATGAATCTTTATAAATTAACTTTATTTTTTTAGAAATAATCATTACATGAACATTGTCCATTCGTTGAGAAGTGATGTATACGATTTGCATCACGCACAATTATTTCACATTGACGAATAGCAGCGATTAGTTTAATAGCACGATCTATGAACAGATAAAATGAAGAATAAGAAAATAATGAAATTATTATAACACATACGACAATCACCACAAACACGAAGATTGTTTGTCACTTGAATTTGTGTTGCATTTGGATTTTGAACAAAGTTCCAAGCGATTGCAAGTCTTTCACTATGTCCACAAAGAACTGATTCGACAGTTTCATCATCATTTAATGGACGTGTAATCCAACTTGAATCATATTGATGCCCATGTTGAATAAGTTGTTTAGAAATTTTTTTTATTTCAGCATAAATTTCTGTTGATCGAGGATGTGATTGATCATGTGCTCGAAATTCCTATAAAAACCATTTCATATATATATTAAATATAAAATTAATATTATAGTCGTAAACTTACGAATGCATGTCCATTGATTACAGTCCATGAGAGACCGATTTTTTTCTTAGCACCTGATCGATTTAATTCGTTTCTAATATTTGATGCTGTATCAATATCACCTGATGATGTATAAGCGTTAGCAAGAAGAACAGCAGCTGGTGTAAGTGAATTTTTTATATCAGGAAAACTTTTCCTCATGCGATCATAAATATTTTGTGATAATTCACTATTGTTCGCATTTCTTGCACCTGATAATAACGCCACTAAAACAAAAATTTCAAAACTATGTTAAAATGTACTTATATATATATATATATTTAATATAATAAAAATTTCGAAAACATTTCAAAAAATACTAACTGTACATAGTTAACACCGGTAAATCGAAACGTTCATATTCATCAATCAATTCTTCTGCTTCTTCAAAATACGATCCACGACTAAGACAATCAATCTGAATTAATAAATCTATTCATCTTTGTCAAAAGAATCTTTTCAAATACCATTGTGCCATTAATTCTCTCCGTTTTTGTTGGAATATTTTTGAAGATTGAACGAGCTTCTTCAATAAGTCCGGAATGTGAACATGCATTTAAGACACAAATATATGTCACTTCATTGATGAATTCTTCAGGCATTTTACGATTAAGTTCAAGTGCTTGAACACCCATTCCATTTAAACCATAACTATTAACTAATAATTAATCAATTATCAAAACATATATTTTTTCCAAAAACAAAAGATAAAACAAACTCATTGTTGTATATGCAACTTGATCTGGTTTAGGATTTTTTTCGAAAACTTCTTTTGCTTTATCTGTACATCCACATTTTCCCTAAATTGAGATTTTTTTGCAAATAGAAAAGTTGAAAAGAAAATTTCTTTCGACTTACCCACATATCGATTAATGCATTTTCGATTTCATTATTAAGTAGAACATCTGGAATATCTTTAACAATTGATTCACATATCGAATAATCACCTAGTTTTGATAAAGATTTTATAATAATAAGATAAATAATCGAGTTTCTTTCTAAACCATCAATTTTCATTTGATTAAATAAATTCAATGCTTTCAATGACTTATCTTCTTTATTATATGCATTCATAATTGCTCCATACATTGGTAAATCCTTATTTGTTGATTTATTAAATAATAATTCAGCATGTTTGACATCTTCACATTTTATTAATGCATCCAGCAGAGAAGATAAAATATAGGGGTTTGAATGAAACGATTTTGGCATTTCTTGTGAAACCTTTTTTACTAAACTTAATGCTTCATTCGTTCCCAATTGAGCACAAATATTAAATAAAATACTTAAAATAAATTCATCAGGTTTTTCAATTTTATTGAAAAGATCGATTGCTTTATTTGCTTGATTATTTTCTATATAACCCTTCATCATTGCTCCATACATTGGTAAATCTTTATTTGTGCATTTATTAAATAATAATTCAGCATGTTTGACATCTTTACATTTCATAAATGCATCCAGTAAAGAAGATAAAATATAAAGATCTGAATAAAATGATTTAGGCATTTCTTGTGAAACTTTTTTTACTAAACCTAATGCTTCATTCGTTCCTAATTGAGCACAAGCATTAAATAAAAGATTGATAAGAATTTTATTTGGAGTTTCAATTTTATTGAAAAGATCAATTGCGTTATTCGCTTGATTATTTTCTATATAACCCTTCATAATTGCTCCATACATTGGTAATACTTTGCTTGTACATTGATCAAATAATAACTCAGCATGTTTAACATCTTTACATTTCATGAATGCATCCAATAAAGAAGATAAAATATAGGGGTTTGAATGAAAAGATTTTGGCATTTCTTTTGAAACCTTTTTTACTAAACTTAATGCGTCAGTTGTTTTAATTTGAGCACAAGTATTAAATAAAAGATTTACAAGAATTTCATGTGGATTTTCAATTTTATTGAAAAAATCAATTGCTTTATCTGTCATATTATTCCTTAAATAACCTATAAAAGAAGGATGATGATTAAATATAATTCGAAATAAAAAATCATTACCTTTCATCATTGCTCCATACATTGGCAAGACTCTATCTGTTGATTTATCAAATAATAATTCAGCATGTTGGACATCTCCACATTGCACTGTATTAGAAAGAAAAATAGAAAAAGAGAAGAAAATTCTTTTCAAAATTTACTATAAAGATGAATTAATGATGTTGATATATAAACGTCTTCTTTTATATGTGTTGAAATTAAATGATGAATATTTTTTCCACGTTGAAGATCTCCTAGATGAGTACATGCTTTTAAAGCTTGTGTAATGGTAAAACTAGAAAATGTTTGAATTTTAGATTTTCTATGTTTATCAAATAATTCAAGTGTCTTGTTAAATTGTTTATTGTCATTAAGGAATTTCATTTGTTTACTCAAATCGAAATCAGATTGAACAGTCACTGAACGTTTTGTAAAAACTATCAGAGATGATAAACGATGTTTCAACAATTGAGTTGCCATGAAATGAGTTATTTTTTCTTAGCTACTTTTATATAAAGTAAATACTAAAGAAAAGATTATCAGAATCAATTAGAGATGAACGAAATTAACTTAAATCCATAATAGTCCATAGTTTAATTACATTAGTTCGTAAAGTAAAGATATTTCTTGAAAGATGTCGTTTGTGAACACATTACTATTTGAAATTTTGTTTTTGGGAGTTAGCATCCACTAACAAGTGTATCGGCATCCATCCTCACCCACACCATCAGATTCGAAACAATCGATAAGCACATTTTGTCTTCAGTAGAAAAATAAATTTTAAAAACCGATAAAAGTTTATGAGAAAGTAGTAACAACAATACTGACATGACTAGTACTATCTGCATTCAATGAATGTCAACTTTAAACCACTTGTATGTTACTCATTAAACTATTGATGATAAAGCTTACATTAATTAATAAAATAGTATGAGTAAGTAATTGAATTGATTAGATAATCATAAATAGTTAATTCAATGATTGTCATTTCATATTTTAGCGAATATAATATTAAAAGCAACAGTTGATTTTTCATTCAAATATGTTCATGATTAATTCTTTAGTATCGTATTTCCCTGTTGAAAATGATTATTTATAATAATTCAAATAATTATCTTGATTTGAAGAGACTGCGCATGTACAAAGGTCGAAAATCTTTATCCACTTCTGTATCAATCGATTTCAAATATTGATCAATTAAAAGTGTTTCATCTATTCCATCGTATCAAGAATAATATGTAAAGTAGCAGTCAATTTTTTTATCAATATAAATTCGATACTTGTGTTTGTATGTTTACTATATGAACTCAGGTAATATTCAGGATTGCATTTAAAGAATAGTCGTAGTATATCTATAACATCATCAATGCATCCTTCACTCACATCGATATTTGTATTCATCCATTAAAAATCAGTCAACATGATTGTGTACGAAAATTAGAGAATAGTATTTTTCTATATAACATTTTTTTAATTCATTTATTCTATCGAAAAAAAAATATAGATCTATTTAAATTTTACAGAAAAATAAGAGAATATTTGTATTGAATATATATGTATGTATGTATATATTTTATTGATCATCAGCAACATAATTAGGATGAACAATAAGATAAAGATTATTTCCTTCAGGATCTTCATCTTCATCTTCTTCTTCAGCATTTGTACCATCTTTAGTTTCTGTTGTCATACCAAATTGACTAACAGTACGTTTATCAAGTTGAATAAGAATTTCATCAACATGAACAAGACGATCAATAATTTTATCTAATGTTGCTTTTTTTCGTGCTAATTCATCAAGACTATTAATTTCATCAGCTAATTGTTCAAGTACCCAATTAATAAGTATACGTCGTTTAACACCAGGCATAACAATATTTGTACCATTCGCTTGACTTTCAGCTTCTTGTTCTTCATCCATTCTACGTAATTGATAAACCATCATATTCGTTAAACGTTTATATTCATCAAGAGATATTTTCGTATCATCTTTTGTTGTTGTTTCTTGTATGTCTTCTTCCATAGCTTCTTCTGCTACTGGAGCTGTTGCCGTATTTGTTGGTCGATTATATTCATTAAGATCAATATCTGGTTGATCAACATGTATGATTGCTTTACTTAAAAGTCGATAACCTTCTTGAACATGTTGTATATCAATATCTTCTTGACAATACATTTTTGCTATAGCTTCAGATAAACGTATTAAACTTTCTAATTGACGAACAGTTATTGGTGTTGATGATGATGATACACGACCATTACTTGCTGATGAAGTTTCACGTAAACGTAATTGTTTATAAAGTGTTATGATATGTTCTTTAGCAGCTGGAGTTAATTTTGGTTGAACAGCTGCTTTTGCATATGTTATATAATCTCGAATCTCATTGAATGTATATACCGTTACAAGTGATGGAACTGAACAACGAGTTCCAGATGTATGTAAATCAATGATACGTTCAGCAATATTGTAATCAGTTACATCATTGCATTCGTCAATGACAATAAAGAATAAATCAAAACGAGACCTAAAATGAGAAAATCAAAGATTATATCTAACTTAAAACATGAACGGATAATAAGATAACTTTCGATGAATCAATCCTCAATGCAGATTTTTTAGGTATAGTATTTTATAAAACTTACATAATTGGTGCTGACATATTAACATTATGTCTCAATGATCTTGATTTATCGTAACGTCCAGCAATAGGATTTGCTGCAGCTAAGATTGATGTTCGTGCATTAAGTGTTGCTTTTATACCTGCTTTTGTAATACTAATTGTCTGTTGTTCCATAGCTTCATGAATAGCAACTTGATCTTTAGGATCCATTTTATCAAATTCATCAATACAACAAATACCCTATAAAAGAAAGAAAAACGAAATCTAATTTTTTCTATAAACACTAAAAATATATGTTTTACATTATCAGCAAGCATAAGTGCACCAGCTTCAATAACAAATTCACTTGATTCTTCATCTTTAACAACAGCGGCAGTTAAACCAGCAGCTGTTGAAGCTTTTCCACTGGTATAAACAGCACGAGGTGAAAATTCTGACACTTGTCTAGAAGTATAAATTTAATAAAATAGAAATTATTTTTATTCTTTTTTTTACTTTAAAAATTGTGATTTTGCTGTTGATGGATCACCAACAATACAAATATTAATATCACCACGTAAAGTTGTTTTTTCCATTGTACGTTTCGGTACACCACCAAATAACATTAATAAAATTCCTGATTTAATTTCATCATTTCCATATATAGTTGGAAAAAGACTTGTACGTATATTAGCAAATAAATTTTTATCTGACATCATTGTTTCAATACGTTTCTTTTTCGAATCTGAACTTAATAATGTATCAACATTAGTTTGTTCAGCTGGTGTTATATGACAAGCAAGAAATGCTAAATGATATGTTAAATCACGAACACCAAGTGCTTTTAAACCACGTACACCTTCAGCATTGTAACCTTTATCATCTGAACCATGACTACGTTGTGCACTTTCCGAACGAACACCAGGCATCGATAATTGACTAACATCTGGTAGAACAATTAATGTTCCAATAAAATCACAACGATCACCTGGTTTAGCTTGTTCAACACATTCATTACGCATAATTATATCAAGACAACGTGGAATATTTCCATGTGGTAATTCCGATTGACTTTCTTGTATACGAACTTTTTGAAAATCAACAAAACGTGAACGTGTTAAATCTAATGCAAAATGAACACGATTATTACAAACAGGATTTCGACACATTAATGGTTGAGTAAAACGAAATTGTTGTTCAACATCCGGACAAACCATTTGACAATCAGAACAAATAAATGTTGCAGAAATTAATTCCGGATGAACAGGATAAGTACGAATGACTTGACCTGTTATACGAATTAACATACCCATTTTTGATGTATTTAAATTACGAAGTCTAAACAAAGAATAAGTCGTGTATCATTATGAACTTGAATAAAAAACAAATTTCTTTAGCAAAATTCTATTTCTATGCAATTGAATACACTAAATGACCTTGTATAGTTTTGAAAATTCTGTTACAATAATCATATGTATTGTAATCTGAATATGTAGTATTCGTAACTCAATTGATAAGATGAATTTTACTGGTTGTATTTTCTAGATTTGAATCTTGGGGGTGTGAGTATTATATTTATCACACACGCACCCTCAAGATGATTTGGATTATAATACATAAAATCTTTTCGGATTACATACTTATAACGCATTTGAACATCGCTAAATGCCACATAAAGTTCTTTATCACTTAAAACCGTTCGTTTAAATCGTTCAAGTTTTTCTGCTTCCATTTCAATTTTTGGTAAATGTTCACGAAAAAATTGTTTAAGACCACGTGATAAAGCTGGTAAAAGTCTATTTAAAAAAGAAAACAAATAAAATTATTCATTGTTATTTTCTATTATTCTTACCGATAATATTCATCTTGAATAACACGTGCTAATCGATCATTAAAATTTGATAAATGTCGATAATTAATTAATACAGTTGAGCGTTGTGGTTGACATAATTCATCAATCATTGTCTTTTTTTCATTATCATCGAAACTAAATTAATAAGAATAGTTTTCATTGTTTATATTCGATTACATACCTTTCAAGATATTCAAAAAATAATCGTTGACATTGATCAGCAAGAACATCACGTACACGTGGATGTTGTGGTACTTGTTGTGCAATATCCATTTTTGTTTTTTATTTAAAAAAATAATCTAAAATAATAATCATTTTTGTTAATATGAAGAACTATACCTGATAAATAACAATTCTATCTTTGATTAGTTTTATTATAAGTTTCAAACAAAAAATTCTTCGAATATGTATGACCAGTTATATTATTTTCTTCGATATTAGGTAGAATAGTAAACACAAATAATTCAATCTATAATATTGTTCATGTATGATGTTCGATTATAATGTTATTGTTTTGAACAGAATAGAAGATGAAATAATGATATTATGGCTTTGTTCTTTTCCCGGTGTGTTCTTTGTTTAATATATAATTCGATTCGAATTGGTTAAACGAAAATCAGAGATGTCGTTAAATTTCGAACATAGAAAATTTCGTAATCCTTCTGTCGCGATAGAAACGAAATATTAAAAATAATGGCTTAGGGACAATTTTTTATTAAGTTAATCATAACATTAAAATGACAACAAATGAAAACAACTTAGACATTCAGGCAATATTAGTCTAATACATAGATTTTTATTTAAAATGCTTATTTGTATTTTTAAAATAGGAAGAATTGCCAACGGATAAAAGAATTTTATTAGAAAAATTATCTAAAGTATTTGATCGTAAAACAGCCATTGATTTTGTCAGTCCAAAACCATTCGAAACAAAACGACATTTAACAATTGAAGATTTATTAAATGGTAAGAAAGAAGAAGAAGAAAATTGAATGCTTTTTACTATTCAATTGTGATATAGAAAAAACTACTAATAGTATGTTAATTTTATGTAATATTATGATGTATATAAATAGAATTGGTGGCTATGAAATTTTTTAGTTGCAATTAGTAATACAGTGTTGAATCAAATAATTGATTTATAGCTGTGAGAGATATATTGATGTTCGAAACTTTCGAAAAACTTTATCTATAGAAGGAAAATTGTGTATTATCACGCACTGTCGAGGTTCATAAAGTGAGATTAATGAAATCAATAATGTTACGGAAATGACATGCACCATACAAAAGTTTTTCATGACCTCTATTTCATTCAGAACTATCTATTAGAGTTCATTGATGTAGAATGTTCGTATTATTTAAACTAAAAGTCAAAATGATGCTAATCATTTTTTCAACGAAGTATATATTTTTTCATATAAGCTTACTGTAAAGTACTTGTTATTATCGTGTTTAATTACTTCTTAAATTGTTTTTCCTTGTGCGTCATTATATAAAATAGAATTTATTTAAAAAATATAGTAATAAAAATAAGAACCCTTTCAGTTAACATCAGAAGTTTCTATTTTGTTTTTTTTTTCAAATAAATATAAAATAACTGATTTATTTAACTAAACCTTGCATTATTCATTAGAATTACAGACGGATATCCGGTTTTTTGCTTCAATAATAATATTGCTTTCAAAACTTAGTTAATCCAAAAAATGAAAATGTCCTAGAAAAGGTTTTTGTTTTTCACGCTAGTGCATTTTTATTAATAAGTATATTTGCAAGAATAAAAGGCTATACAAAATCGAAATGCATTACATACTTTTTCCTTTAGGTTAATGTACACTAGAAAACAAAAAGATATTCTAGTAATTAAAGGAAACAAATTGAATTCATATAAATAGAATTTTCTTTAAAAAGAGAAAAAGTGTGAACTTAATTTCCTGTTTAATAACTCTGTAGTTTTAATCATATTTTTTCTTTTTTCAAAAATTAATATGTTTATATTTAATCGTAGAATTTTATATTATTTTAATCTTGTGTGGTTTGATATTAACCTTATATTGTAGTTGATAATGAACAACAAGAAAAACATTTTCAGCGACTACGTTCGATGGAACACTATCAGACTACTACGCAGTCGCTATCGCAAACCGAACTTGAAGTATGCTGATTATTACTTCGCTTATTCTTAATACCTAACAAACACGTTTTGATATTGCCGATTTTTTTTCTCTTTGTTATAAGAATATATATTTCAATCTAGGCTACATATGAAGCATTTATTCGGGGTGAAATTGCTCATAAACCCTATTCTTATAAAGAACTTGAACAATTTGTACGAAATAATGCGGATATAAATGCTGTTGATTATTATATCAATTCAACACATCATAATGCAACATCAGGTCCTTTGCAGGTAATGTGCGATATATATATATTTTTTTTTAATATATTCTTATTTATTATTAACAAAAAGAAAATATGAATTTGCCTTAAGAAATATTGTTGAAGCAAATAATAATCGCTATTTTAGGCACATTTATTATTCCATTCGTCAAAACTTAATGAACAAAAAGCTAATTTAATTAAATCAGCAAGTTCAAATAGAAGTTTAAAATCATTCAATGATAGTCTTAGTGTACGAGGATATTTTCCCGAAAAATTACTTGTAAATATTTCGTTATTTAAAAATGAAAATTTTCAAATATTGATTTGTTTTGTTTTTTTTGAAAGGCACATTCGAGATCTTCATCAAAAGAAAAAGAACTTGATAATAATCAACAAAATTATTCTAAACAACGTTCAATGCATATTGATCATGGAGAAAAAAAATATCATGTTACATTTTTAAAAGATCCAAATACTTCTGTGAAATCATCAAAACATAAAACAAAGAATCATAATGTACATAATAAAAATATTGAATCATTATTTAAAAGAGAAGCTATATTAGAATCTAATCTTTCAACTAAATCCAATACTTCAAATATACATCGACAAAGTAGATTATATGAAATTGAAATTTATTTATAGAAATATATATATTTTTTTTTATTTAAGAATTTCCACCACTTTCTCTATCGGCTTTGAAAGAGTATCGACCAACTATGACGCCAAGATCTTCAACGATACCAACAACACCTCATATTCAAAAACAAAAACCGAAGCGAAAAACTGATTTTATATGGGAACAAACAATTGTTTCACAAAAACATAAATGATAGTTTTGTTTTTCCTTTTTACATGTGTGTGTTGTATGAAACACAGCTGGCGTTTTCTTTATATGCGTGTTACAACGGAAATGAAAAGAAAAACTAATAACAGATTACAACATCTCTTGTGTCTATTCTATCTCCCATCGGCATCGAATATTAATAGTTTGCTATCAGCCTAAACCTTTAAATGAAGGAAAGAATGTGGTTGGAATAGTCGATGTTGGTTTTTTTTCTTCTTTTTTTTCTCCTCTAGTCAAACGCCTAAGAATCGAAGAAAAAGAACGCGAGGCAAATTGAGCTGTGGACCTTGTTTGCTTCTCACATTTTATTCAAAATGACAAGGCAACGCCAGTCGACTTCTGTTCTGTCTTTCTTTCTTCTTCTTTTTTTCTCCTCCTCTGTGTTTTTTGTGTATATTCGAGTCAAGCTTCGTACTATTGACAGAGTATGTCGACGCGTTTTCCCGCAGACACACTCGAAGCTCGAGCAAAAGAGAAAAAAAAGAGAGACGGTGCGGAAAAATATGAGAGGGAGAAGCAGTGTCTTCTTCTTCTTCTTCTTCTTCGTCGCCGTCGTCGTCGTTTCTCCGTCATTTCTAATTTCTCATGTCAATTTTCATTGTGTGTAACAAAAGGGAAAAAGAAGAGAGAGAGAGAGAGGGAGAGAAAGAGACAGGGAGAAAGAGAGAACGACGGCGTCGATAGATGGATGGATGGTAAGATGCACAGACAGAGAAGACCTCCGTCTCTTCCTCCATAGCATACACATAGTCAGGAAAAAAAACGAGAGAAGAGAAAGAGAAGAGCAAAATGCTTGCCAAAATCATAAACAACAACAACATCAACAGATAGAAGCTGATGAAGAAAAATTACTACAGAATGATGGTAAAACTGCCATATTCTCTTCTTTTTTTTTCTCTTCTATCTTTTCTTTCTTTCTGTTCCTACTGCGTCTTTAGTCTAACATCATCGGACTACGCTGCCATCTCGCGCATCATCAATGCCATGTGGGAGTATGTGTATTTTTGTATGTGTTGACTTAGGAATAAAAAATTTGCGGAAAAGAATTGAAGTAAGTTTATCATCGATGACAACTATTTAAAAACATTTATCAAGAATCTCAACCTATACAATCGGCATAAACAATATTTTTATATTGTCATTGTCATTGTTTTTTAGATTGCGTGTTAAATTTAATATCTCGAGAAATTTGAGATGGTCATGTTCGAGATGAAGTCTACTACCTCGTCTAACTGAATATATATATATATATATATATGGCATCTTCCGTTTCTTCTTCTTTTTTTCTTTTACAGTTATAGAAATTGTAGTCAACATCTTCGACTCATATGAATCGTCGTCTTCGTCATCGACAAGATAGTTTTCTTTCTCTTTTCTTCCTTTTATACTTTAGCAGGTGGAATCACGCTCTTTGCTTTAACTGTTTTGTCTGATTGAAATACTAGAAAAAACAGAAAAAAAGAAAGAGCGAATAAAAGAAAACAACAAAGAAACGAAGTCTCTCTCTCTCTTCCCTACTAATTACTTGACGGTCCTTTCTCTCTTCTTCTTCTTCTTCTTCTTTCTCTATAGTATTCACTTGCTTACCCATTTGTTTAATGAAAAAAAAAGGAAAGGAAAAAGGAAAAGAATGAACATTATTGTTCGAGTAAGTAAGGTGTAGAACAAGTTTGTCATTGTATGTTTGTAGCTCGTATTGATAAACAACTCAATTATATCAGTTGAAAAGATGTTTATTGATTAGATTATTTATTAAAAAAGATGGATCAATTGGTTCAATCAATAATATTACTACTAACAACAATATTTCTTACTTAACAACTGGCAAATGTCACCGATTCTAAGCGAACAGAGTCTTAACTGTCTAATAGTATATGTGTGTTACTTCATAGAAACACACACAATTCTTATATCCATAGAGACAAGAAAAAAAAACCCAAACTAATCTTTTCCTTTCTTTTCTTTTCTTTTCTTTTCTTCGTTTTTTTTAGTATTCGATATCATAATTATCAAATAATAAAAATCTAAAAATTAAAATAATCGATATTTTTCCTGTTTAGATAATATTATTTGATTAAAAAAACTCTTGTCTTATCTATATTATTTGTCCATTTGCTTAACGATAATGACAACGATAGTTGTCACGCCTTCTGATTGATGAGCGGGCTCGTGCGCCACTCATCTCTGTCTCTATTTTTCTCTACTATTTGGTATAATTGCTAACTGACTGCTGGGATTTTCGAATAGAACGAGATGATGGTAGAAGCACATCATCATCATCATCTTCGCCTATTTCTTCTTTTTCTTCCTTCAAGTTTCTGTTCTCTCGCTTACATGTATGTATGTGTGTGTGTGTGTGTTTGTATGTGTGCGTCTGTTTGTTCTGTTCACGATTATTACTGCTACTATAACAATAAATAATGATGACGATGGTGCAAAGAATCTTTCTACTAACTAGTCCCTTGCAGACATACAGGTAATATGAGTCTAAAGAGAATTCAAACACGAGATATAAAAGCTGATTGAACATGCATTCATTCATATAAGATTATTTTTTTCTTTTATAGATGATGATCAGTATCTGTCGATTATTCTCTTGATTCAATAGATAGAGATATATTTAAATATACACATACTGGCACATACACAACATACTATATTCAATCATTCAAGTTTGAGATCAACCTGTGCCGTTGTTCATTTCTTTTTTTCTTCTTCCTACGCTACATGGTAAGTCGTGTTGAAATATGAAGAAGAGACAAAGATAGTAAAAAAAAAAGAAAGAAGCGATGATAAGAAAACAGCACGTCTAGTTAGTGCAAAGCATCTTATTTCTTGTTCGTTATACATGAACTACTCACTTTTAATATAATCAAAACAAATATAAAAAGACTATGGAGAAAAAAAGCCCTTATTAACACAGATTCATTTTTATTTTAGACATTTCAATGAAAGCTAACAATAAACGAAGGCGATCATTGTATTATGTTCATCATTTACAAGGAGACCTCTCAAATATTGAAATGCTCCTCAATTAGGTATGATAGACTTCTTTTTTTTATTGTATATACATACCTTTTCTACTCTTATCATATGTATATTTATAGAGAAAAAACATTTTTATTTATTAAAAAAGGAAAGACAAAAAAAAATAAATTTCGTTTAAACTATTAACTTGTGTAAAATATCACACCATGTTTTTCTCTAATATTAAAGTAAATTTACACTTCATATCCTATAAACGTGTGTGTATCTCTCCAGATGACGCGATCTGAATATATGCGTGTGATTAAAAAAGGAAGAAAGAAATGACGAAAAAAAAATGAAGAAGAAGCAATAAGCCGAGTAATCTAACAATGATATTAACTTGCAAGTCGTTTGCTCACATCAAACTGTCTCTATTAGCGCCTGTTTTTTTTTCATACATATATTGAATGAAAGAAAGTCCTGTATAGATTTTCTTTTCTTGTATTGGAAACAGAAGAAGAGAGAGAGAGAGGGGAAAAAAAAGAACAGAAAAGAGGCCTACGCGAGAATATGAGAACTATAATAATAGCATTGATCACTCTTCTTATCCTTTATATAATAAATAAGAAAAGATTATAATATACGTAATGTTATTATTTCTATCTTATTTGTTTTTATGTCCATCAAATTATATTTTTTAAGTCATTTAATTTTAATAATTCTATTGTTTATTTTTATTTTGGTTTTGTAGGAAGAATAAAAAAGCATCAAGTTTATTGTCAAGTACTTCATTAACAGCATCAGCAGCACAACATTGTCGCTGCTATTCTTATTTATCTTCACCGCCTTATTCGGTGCTGATTTTTTCAGCTGCCGACATCCTTTTCCGGCTCATAGAGGCTTTTGTCGGTCAAGTCGAAGAAGTGCAAAAGAATTGTTTCCGTAAAGTAAGAAATAAAAAATGAAAGAATATAGAAGTATTATTAAAAAAAAAACCTTCTTTTTTTTTTATTTCGAAATAGATTATGAGCACACGCCAATCAAATCAAGAAAACTCATCAATATTCGACAGTAACCGATCACGCCGCCAACAACCAACACCTTCAAATATACCTTCAAATCAACAACAAGAACCACTAAATTCTTCTCCATCTCATAGTGATCAAGCCTCAAAAGCCTGTTGTTTTTGTTGGTGTTGCTGTTGCTCCTGTTCGTGGTATGTAAATTATAAATTTTGTTAGTTTCACTGATCCTATTATTAGCGTACTATTTCATTGTTCACGCACGTTATTTTCATAGAAATATATATATATATATATATATATATATGTGTGTATATTCGTTAAGTTGCGCAGAATTTTCTCTTATCTTCTTTGAGTCGTTTGTAAACCTGTACATAATCGTCTTTGTATTTTTTTCTTGTGTATCTCTCTCGCTTTAGACGTGGGTCTCCTCATCATTATACATTGACAGACAGCATCATCACATTTATACATACAAAAATTGGTCCCCTACTCCTCTTCAGTCCTCATGGTGAATTTGCGCGTTTATTAGCGCGCATGTGCATGTGAAAAGAACATGATTAAAAACATCAAATTTAACCCATTCGGTTCCATACGACGTCGCCAAAAGTATGTTTTTTCGTTATTATTATTTTATGTTCTTTTCTAAAGATTAGATTAGATTAGATTAGATTTGATGCTGCTGCTACTGCTGCTGCTTTATTTTATAAGAGAAAAAGAAAAAGTTGTGAGGAGACCCACGTTTGCGCTAAATATCATTTCCGTTTCGGAAAGATGATATATAATAGTTAGTTTATTTTCATTATTATTGTTATTGATTAGTTTTTATTTTTATTTCGAAAGTCAGATACAAATGAGCATTATTTGATCATAGAGTGTAATCCCTAATTGTGTTTCTATTGGGAAATAATATAAAAGTGGTCCGCTATTATGTTCTATAATCCGATAATGAAACTGTTATATATTGCGTCCTCTGTAATACTGAGATTTATTCTTTTTCTTCTTCTTATTCTGATACAGCTATCAATTTGAAGGGCGAAAACGAAACGCATCTTCTTCTTTCTTCTCCTCTTTTTATCCGTTCCTAATCGGATTAGAGATATAACTTTCCTTTCTTTTCTTCTGTTTCTACGTCTTTTTACTCAGTTTTTTTCTCGACTTGCAATGCCGGTGTTTGGCTTGTGTTAGATATAAAGAAAAGGAGAGAAGAAGAAGAAAAAAAGTGTTCAACGTCGATGTCGCGCCTCCGTATTTTGTCGTCAGTTTTTTTTCTTCTATTCCAGACTAGTTATTAGCTAAATCATGTTAGTGAACAAGAAGGAACGCAAACAGACGAATGTGCGAACAGAAAAAAAACCGGCTAAGCTTATGCCTTTCTTGTTCGTCGGGTTTGCTTTTGATATAATGTTCTCGTTGGTAGCGAGAGACTAAAAAAAATCAAGAGAAAAAGAACATGTCGCTCTTTCTCGTGTTGTTTCTGCCGGTGGTAGTAAGGATGATGATAGTGATGAAGCTTTGACTGTTACTGCCGTCATCATCTCAATATTGTCGGGCAAGCGCGCGCACAAAAAAAGAAGAAGAAGAAAGAGAAGAATTAATAATAACTTTTTTTCTTGTCGACGGCAACGATGGACCATGGAATCCGAGCGGCATCCGTCGTCATCATCATCATCATCAGCATCATTTTTTTCGCATCAGCATGACTTTTCAAGTCTGGTCTCGTGGCCACATCATTGGCAGCCGGAATCGTTTGAAATAACAACGAATAGTAGTTCTACTGCTTCCTCAGACATGACACAAGTTGTGCCTGAACACGTGGTTTGTGCTAAACTCGGTGGTGGGAATAATAGTTCTCGAAAAGATAATAGTAGTTTACTAAAAAATCGACCACAACGTTCGAATTCAGCAACATTAAGTACTATATCCGTTACATGTGATACAGATTCATCTTCAAGATTACGTAATCCTCATCCTCAACAATCTCCACCAAATAATTTATCTACTATGCTTAATACAACGAATAATAAAGCTGCATCAAATTCAACATCAGCTTTAACGAATGTCTCAATTAATTCTTCAAGTACATTTATAAATCATCCACAATATAAAACATCTATGTCAACATCATCTGAAATGAATATTGCACATGAAAAATCAAATATAGTTTCATCCGCATCAACAATGTCAATACCAAATAAACATTCGATTAAAACAACAACGACTGGTGCTATTGGAGGAACATTAGCATCAACAAGAAATCTATCTATAAAACATAAATCAACTTCATTTGATGATCATCGATCAACACGTGGGATCGGAAAAAGTGTTCTCGAACATCTTGTCTTTGTTTTTCCGGAAAATGTTCGTCGAATACTAGCAGGACCAAAAAAGTAACCAGCAAATAGAAAGTTCTTCTAACTTGGTTTTTTTCTCTCTCTCTCTCTCTCTCTCTCTCTTCTTCTCTTTCCACATCTACCCATCGATCATTAAAGATATATTGATTTATTACTTGTTTTTCTGTTCTAGTCTAACTGTGCGTACCGACGAAGGCCGCCAACCTGTTGAACCTATTGATTTAGGCGAGCCGTAAGTAGTTTTTTTTCTTCTTCTCCTTTTATTTGATTAAATAAATCATTTATTATTCTCGATGTATTTAGACCATCTATCGACGAGCTTAAAAGTTGGTCTGAATCATTTGACAAATTAATGATGAGTGCTGGTAAGTAAAATAAAATCAAAAAGAAAAAAAGATATTTTTCGACCGAAAACATAATGATCTTATCGATTAACAGAATTTCCTGTTTGGAAACTTCGAAAATAATTCCACTTATTCTGTATTTATTTCTCATTAAAAAGAAATAACGATTAACATAATCTTAAATATTCTAATTTCCTTTTCTTCTCTTTAGCTGGCCGTCATTATTTTCGAGAGTTTTTACGATCAGAATATAGTGAAGAAAACTTTTTATTTTGGATGTCCTGTGAATCATTAAAAAATGAACAAAATCCGGATATTATAGAAGAAAAAGCACGATTAATATATGAAGATTATATATCTATTCTATCTCCTAAAGAGGTAAGCAAAAAAAAACAGTAAAATTCATCAATATTTATAATATTTATATTCAATTGTTTTTAGGTAAGTTTAGATAGTCGTGTGCGCGAAGTAATTAATAAAAATATGGTCGAACCATCTCCACATACATTCGATGAAGCCCAATTACAGATTTATACACTAATGCATCGAGATTCTTATCCACGTTTTATTAATTCACAAATGTACCGGCGATTAATACGTAGTGAAGACATTAAAACTTAACTTTCAACATCGCCAACCCGGTTTTCCTCAAAAATAATTTTCTTTAAATTGTTTTCGTTTTTTTTTTTCGTTTTCTTTTTTTCTATCCTAAAAACATTACTTTTCTTTTCTTTTTGTCTTCACGACACATTCCACAGTGTGGACGCACCATTGTCGCGTTTATGCGCCGACGTAGAACCAAACGAAGTTTTATTATATACAAATGAAAATCAAATCAGATGTCTACTACATCAACGCCCGCTATTTGAATCAAAGTATTTCTATATATGTATATTTTTCTACAGAATATTTCGTCATAACTTAGACATATAATTTTCTCATGCGCGCCCGCGACATTCGATTTCCCGTCTCTCAACTGTGATGAATTCATCTTTTTCTTCTCTACTTCTCTCTTCTCTCTCTCTCTTGTCTTTTGTTGTGTATGTATGTGTGTATGCGCGGTTTTTTCTCTTCTTCTTCTTTTTTTTTCTTCTTAGTCGTCTCCGTCTGCATTTAAACGAACAGTGACATTGAATGCTGCATGTATGTGTTTGTTTGTTTGTTGCTTTAAAACGCAAAAAGTATCTTCGAAGATCTTAGATTGATGGCATTCATGTTCTTTCTTT